CCACGCGCCCGGTCGTCGTGCATCTCGAGGTGAGATGAGCGTCCCCTATCGTACACGAAATATGTGTACAAAATGTCTTGACGATAGCATTTAAAACATTTGCGTACGTGCGTCAAACTGAACCCAAAGTTCCTCTTCTTCCATTTTGCGAACGTGAAATTTTCAGTTATTAAAGCTTCTTGCCGTCGGAACGTCAGAAGCGAGGAATGACATGCTAACGAAAATTGCGTACTATATCTGAATAAAAATAAACGATGGACGAAGGAGCATTTGAGATTGCTTAAGCACACTTGTAAAATTGTCCGAAATATATCCCTTTCCCCTGACGATCAATAAATAGTTGTATAATAAATGGTAATGAGTTTGTCTGCATGCCTTATTTAAGAGGATTGGCGAGAAAACTGCAAATTCAAATGTGTTATTTTGGCTGAATCTCTTCTCGCATGTTTCTTATCGTTTCGAGTCACGTCATTTAACAAGAACGTGCAAGAAACGTGTAAAAAGAGCTTCAACTAAATTGCGCGCTTATGTCTTTAAAAATCACACACTCGGATTTGCAATGTGTACATCGGCTCTTCCGCCGTTATACTGGAAGTATCTGCGACCGAAATGAACCGCTGTTGACTTCGTCACGGCGAGAATGCGATCGAAGGTTATTACTTTGCCCGATTGAATCGGGTTTTATTCCTTTCGCGCTCGGATATTATCTGCATGTCAATTTAATCGAATTATATGCAAATCACGGACGATAGAGACCAATTAACTGGATTCAATTTTGTATCTTCGTGTAATACTCAACATATATGTATGTATGCATATGTCGGCTCTACCATTATTTATACACGTAACTTCGTTTCATCCAATTCGTCGTTGCCCGCGACTTCATTCAATTTAACTTGGAGAACGAAAGTCTCAACTGTTAAGCGAAGTTTACACGAGGCTGATGAAAAAAATAAGATTTCATTACTTTCTCTCGTGACCCTTTAATTTGTCAATGTCGCGCGACTTCGCAATCGAGAGTCACCCCTCTGCCGCAAACCCGCCCCGAGCGTATCGATTTCGACGTGTGATTCGTCGGGGGAAATCCGTATCTGGGAGAAAACGCGCGTGATGCAACAACTCGTGCCGTCTCATCCAGTAAAAGGTGCCATCTAGTTCCGTCTAACCCGCTCTCCGCGATATACTACGCGCGAAGCGGGCGATGATTCACTTGAAGAGCACGAAATACCGGGGAAACCTGCTCGCTCTAGAATGTCACCGGTGACTCACTTCGCCCGAAACGCAAGATCACGACGGTAAGCAGTGCGGATACACGTTTCTCTGAGAAAAGTTCCGTGTGTGACGCGACACGACGCGATTTAGGTCATGCCTGTAGTTGAATTTTCGCAGAGTGTCACGAGATGCAACGGCGCGAGACTTGAAGTTCAGAATGTGTTTTAACTTTCGTATCGAGATTTCCCGAGAATATCCGACTGCCATTCGTGAAATGTCGGAAGATGTGTCGTCTCGTCGAATATAAAATACGAATATTTTCACAATTGCTCGAGACTGTTGCCCGCTGATGTGTGATATCGTAAATCGATTGAAGACGTCTATCAGGCCTAGCATTGCATCAGCTTACATCTTACCTACTTATCTACTTGCATCTACTTACATCTAGCTACATCTTATCTACTTATCTATCCCCTCATGTATGTTGATTATACGCGAGTCTATTTGGTGAAACCAATGATTTATTTATTGTTTCCCATTGTCACTTATTGCCCATACTGATCCGCGGTTGGTTCGGAAAGAGATTTCTACGACAGTGAAGTTTTTCTTTTCCCCGTGTAGTTTCTCGTGACTCAGATGTTTCTTATTTATATTTTAGATCCGTGTTATAATAATCGTCACTTTGAGTAAAAATTTTGCCTCTATGTTAAACATTGAATTCTACAACGTATTGGAACTAAATTAGCAAAGTAGGTTTAATTCTAATGGTACAATGGTTACTCCTACTTTAACTTTGATGATGCCAGAAATGCGACAATGACTGTGCGAGATGGATGATGAAAATTCAATTGATTTTCACGAAATCTTTACACGCAATGCCACATGGCGAGGACGAAAACACGGAGTTAAACGCAGCGTGACTTTCATGTCGCGTATTGTCACGCGTTCCACAAGCCAGTGTGGTGTTCTTTCATCGGCCGCTTTGTGTGTGTGTGTGTGTGTGTGTGTGTGTGTGCTGGCGACGAAAGGTCCTCACAGAAAACGTCGATGTGTGTATCATAAAGTATACAGTGTGTAGGCGACTTATCAGAAACAACGTGATAACTTCGACGTTCCCGCAACACGAGTGCCGATCATGCATCTCGACGTCGTAGTGTGTATAAAAATTCTTTCGCGATTTTGCATCGACGCCAACTTATGAGACAAACTTTTATCACAACATCGTGTTTAATTCTCTGCGTACAATATCAGGTCTGTGAAACCTCAATATTCGATCGCTCACTAAATGTCGTAAAGGATCATTTTCAAAATGCTGCAAATCTGTTTGCAGATTTTGGTTCCATTGCGCTATTATCTTATAGATAGGGCTTTTTTATATCCCTGGGGAGAAATATTGATTTTCAACAAAGTCAGGATAGTTCGCCCAGGTCTGACAGGCCCAGATTGTATTGTATGTCCTCAAGAAGTATGATTGTACGCGGAGAGCGAGTGTCAATAACGATGACTGATACAGGACACATGGATTCGCTGTTTTTCTCTCCTTTTTTGTATAATAACACTCGCACCCTGACGCGAGAATCGCGCCAAGAGGCACACACTCCCTCCCATTATTGGTCATTGATCTCGTGAACTCGCGCGAACGATGGACTTTTTTCCCACCGTTCGTTCGTCAGCCGCGTTTTTCCCCGACTCCGCGGTTCAGACAGACGGAGAAAGAAGCGTGTCCGGTTGTCCGCGTGTGTTCGCACGATAGCAGCACGCGGAGGTCGCACGCGAGAAAGGGATTATTACGCGAGCGCGAATCGATTCGCGGCATCGAACCGGCGAAAGTCGCCGCGAACTTGACATCGCGCAGTCAGTCAGCTGCCGAGCAAAGCTCACTATACGTCATCGTCGCTATCCTGCTATCCGCGCTGCTCGCTCTCCATTTTTTGGCCATCGCCCTTTTCCTTCCCCCGCCGAGTTTGCATCGACAGTGGAAAAATTTTTGACAGAACAAATGAAGCTTAATTGCGCTTCAAAGAAGCGAGTTGAAACGAATTTTTAGCTTATTATTTTTCGTAATTACTCTCTTTATGACGGAATTAGCTGTTTATTGATTAACGCTCTGTAAGAGCATTTCGGCTGCACATTCGAGGACAAAAACGTCATATTTGTAGAGTAGAAACATGCAGACGGAAATCAAGCCCGTTTGCACAAAGGAAAAACGTTCCAAATCGACTACGTTGACCGATAAATAATTTGAGATATTTCAAGAGCGCGTGTAGAGAGTTTTCGTTCACATTCGCCAAAAGTATCGAATACGAATTCGTAGAAACGTTTACGCGCAAAAACGAAACGCGCCGTTTCATTGCTCGATGGCGCAATCGCAGTAACGAACGGTACTTAGAACCGATTCGCGATTGCAAATTATACAGCGTGGTTACATTACATTCTAGCGAGAGTTACTTCGTCTCCCTGGACTCAATAACGAGCAAGCATCGGGGAAACGTTCACGGTGGGAAAATAGTGAGTGAGTGAGTGAGTGAGTGAGTGAGTGAGTGAGTGAATAAGTGAGAAAGAGGGAGGAAGGAAGAGGGGGAGAGAGAGAAAGAGAGGCACAGGTGTACGTTCGATCAGTATGCCGAAAACGAACGAGGGAACGGAACAGAGAAGTGTCGGTGGTGTCGTGACTTGCGACGTACGAACACACGAGGAATCGCCCTGTTCGTTATTAGAGGAACCACGAATGCTCACGCGATAACGTACTTTGACAAACAACGGACAGAAGGTCGGGACTAAAATTGTAAGTATATTTACTGCGAAAATACAAAAAAGGTACCTTTAATGTTTACAAAACCTCAAATTAATAGACAACAGACATCAAAGTGAAACGAAAATCAAACACGTTTTTATCGTACAGATAAAACGATAGATAAATAAAGAAGATTGCGTAATTTCTATCTCACAAAGAGGATCTAGAGAAAAATAATAGAAACATTGCATAAAGGTCTTAGAATCCGCACGATAAGGTGTATCTTAATCTCAGAATGAGCTGTAAACTTAAAATACTCCGCAGTCTAGACAATTACGCGATCGGGATGATTTCCATGTCTTATGAAATCGCTTGAGGATGTGGTGAGGCACGCGAGTGTAAATATTACTACGAGTGGCGATGATAAGACGATATTGTCGTGATTACACTCAACGCCAAAGTATTATATTATTAATGTATACGTGAGAATTGCGTCAATTTCGTTTGACTGTTGGCAATGATCATGCCCTCCAAAAGGTGGAGGTCGCATGTGCCGCGGGTATCCCCCATTGGTACCGCGAATGCAACAATTATCCACGCCTTTCGGAAGCAAAAGGGGAAGAAAGGCACGGGGGCGAAGGGTGGATTAGGAGAGTGTAGAAAGTACACGCAACGCGCCGCGGCTCTATTATTATGACCGAGCTGCACCACCCAAGTACCCACCCGTAGTCGCACCGTTCGTATGGTGTGCGTCTACGAGAAAGCAGCCGGACACGTTTTCCCATCGAGGAGTTTGCCGCCGCCGCCGCCGCCGCCGTCGTCGTCGTCGTCGTCACCGTCGCCGTCACGACGGCGACAGGAAATCATTCGCGCGGCGCAACATTGTTATGGGGTAATTTTGGGGCGGAGGCGGCGGACGGAAAGACGGACCTGCGAGGGACAGAGAAAAGGAGAGAGAAAGAGAGAAAGAGAGAGAGAGAGAGAGATACATAGGAAGAAAGAGAAAGAGAGACAGAGACACAGACGGAGAAAGAGCCGTGACTGAGAAACTCACCCTGCGCTGCGAAATGCTTAGCGACCATGATGATGCGTATGGTGTTCCTTGGCCGGTCCGAGAACGAATTCAGAACATCGTATCCTCCACAACGGCGGCCAACTACCCCCTCGACGCGCGTGCGAAGGGGCGAGCGTGTACCCGGCGTGTCTCCGGCGACTGTAGCGGAACGACGCGACGCGTCACGAACGAATCAACCGCCGCTACTGTGTTGTATACCACCGGCGCCGCACACTTCGCGCACGAAATAGAGTACGGGGGAAAAAGGCAACGTCACGGGGCCGCTGCTGCTGCTACTCACGCTCACCCTGTCAGAATCACATGTTCTCGCGTCACCACCGTCCACCGCCGCTCTTTCTTCCCCGGCGGCTCCGGAGCAGCGAAGAAGAGTCGCGCGACCAACAAGACGACGTACGCTTTTGTGCACCACCACCACTACCATCGGTACCCGCCACCCACCGCCACCGCCACGCACCACCACCCGCGAGCGCGTTCACGATTCAACACTGACGACCAACGCACATGCCCGACAGTTACCACCCGACTGACGCGACCTGCCCGCGACCACGCTCTGCCTCACCGTTCGCGTACCCCCTCCTCGCGGCCCCTTCCTGCCCGTGACTCAGGAGCTCCGGCTGGTTCCGCAGGAAGCGTTTGAAGCAGCCCCTCGAACACGTTCGCGACGCCAGCGGCCCGGTGCCGCCATCTGTGCGCGCGATCGCTCCGCCGATAAACTTCGCCGGTAAAGAAGGGAGCTTCTCCAAGAAGGCACCAGCCGCGGAGAAGCGCTCGGAGCTGTCGACGGTGTTTATATCCGAGCTATCTTCACCGGCTCTTTCTCTCTCTTTCGTGACATCGCAATTCGACGTTCATCCGGGTTCGTCGGATTCGTTGATAATGTTTCGCAGTCGATGTTACGCGGTCATTGACAGAATCAAGGCGCGAGTCATCGTCACTTGGCCGCTGTATTTAGCCGTCCGGAAGTCTGCCATGTCTCTAAATGGATTCACGACTTATTCTCCATCGAGTATGCCAATTTGCGAGCGCGATTACGTCAATCTGATCGGTTATGAATCACTAGGCGCAAACGCGGATCGTATAACCGCTACCGGCTCTCTTCAAGGTTTTCGCGATTTCTCATTTATCGTCGTCTACGATGACGCTTCGGGTCGTGTCTAACGTTTCAATTAATTTTCCTAGAAATAAATCTCGTTGTTCGAAATTTAAAGAGAGAGAGAGAGACTATCATACACATGCATTTCACATTTTTTCGTAGTAAGAAACTGCTCAAATATTGAATATTTAATCTAAATAAAGAAGATTGCATAATTTCTACCCCAAATAATCTCTCGCAAACTATCTGTTCATCATGAACTTTGTACGATGTTGTTTCAGACACGGACAATAAAGCTGAATTTACTACTATAGAAATGAGTTTTTCATTTACCGATCAGCTCCCCGTTGTTCTGCGCGATGGACGTGGTCGAGAGGAGAGAGGAGTTCGCGGAAGCGAGCGCGCCGTTATACACGCACACGAAGGAAGAAGGAAGGTGTCGATGCGTGCTCGGAGTTTTTTATGTATCCTCTTCGAAAGACGCCGTGTATACGCGGGCTTCACCATATTTAGCACGCGCGCGGCAGTCCGCTGATTGGTTCATATTCAGAGGCGGCCGAGGCGACTGACAAAATTGCGTAGTACGCATTCGCATTGCGCGTTCCACCAATCGCGTTCGACGAAGACGCGTACTCAACGTTTGTTAAACTTCGCGTCCCGAATAACGGCGCATTCTCGTCCCGCTTCTCTCTTTCTCGCGAGATAATTTAACGCTCGGAGAGCTGAAATATGTTCATTAGCAAAAAGGAGAAACCGTCATCTCTCTTTCTCCTTTTCTCTCGTGAACTCGACTCGTGTTATTATCACGAAGGAAATTAAACGTTCCGACGACAAAATCGTTGAATCAACCTCCGCTTTCGCCGAGTGAGGATCGCCAGGTGCTGCTCGCTCTCAATGAACTCCCCTCGTGTGAATTCGTCTTCTACCTGGTTCTCTTGCAAGTGAGCAGGAGGTAACGCGAGCCAGGGCTTTGACAGGCAAAAGCGTGCCAAATATCAAAAGGTTCGTCGACCCATGACAACGCGTCCGTCAACGAGCGCATCGCCGTTCCCCGCGCCCTCTGCCCCCGCCGCGGACTCTCGTCTGCTCTCGCCGCGCTTCCCCGTACGCTTTTTGATTTACGAGCACGCGCACCGGCAGGTGCTCACGCCGCTGTCCTGGATACGTGCCCGTCCGGCTGACCGATCTCCTCCGCCGGCTCGGGCAAAACAAGACGACGCGATCCTCGCCGCGACCGCCGTTACGCGCTCGAGAAACCGCAAAGCGATTCGACCAATTCTTCCCTCCCTCGTCCTCCTGCCACGCCTCGCCCCGTCGCAGCGTGGGTGGTGCGACTCAACACCGGTGACGTCACCACACCGTAGACGAGGGACGTGCAAACCTGTTTCTAACGAGGCTGCTCAACGGACGATTCGTTCCACGGCTGTGCGCTGTGTGTTGTTGTTGCACCATCTGCCCCTTTGGTAGCGCAGTGCCATGCTCTCTCCTTCCTACCCCCTCCTCTTGTCGCTGTTCTATTCAAGTTTTCACGACACGGCGAAAATGGCCGATGCCACTTCGCGTCGTCGATATTATTCGATGATCACTGTCGACTCGCGGCTATATTCACGTTGTTCTACGAACCTTTTACTCAGCAGTATTAGCCAAATGCGACTTATGAACTTCCTGATTATCTTACATGCATATTCTCAAACGCATATTCTAGAGTGCATATTTTCATGCATTTTTTATCGATAAAAGAGAGTTTAGGATAAGGATTATGATACGATACGATCAACATTCGTCTGAATTCTCTCAGCTGCGTTAAAACTTGACTGCAATAACTGGAATTGACTGAGCAAATAACTCCTACGTGAATCTTTCTGTTTTTACAACCCAGTTTCTCATATTTCCTAATATTACCAGGCAATGACTCAGTCACACCGACTGAACTGTTTTTCCGTGTTACGTACGCGCGGTAATATTCATAAGATTTGTTCGTTTTCGAAGAACGTCTAAACTAGTGCACGTCAGTGCCGTAAGTTAGAGTAAATATACTTGTTTCACTGTAACTCCTTGCACTAGTTCAAAAGTTCTTCGAACAGGCCTATACTAGTTTATATGTACTGAAGATTGATCACGTTATCTTTGCCGCACGCGACACGAGTGAGTCGAACCTGTGGCAATAAAAAAAGAAATGTTCATAATCTGGATACAAGCGACAGCTGAGTAGCGAGACGCGTTCATCACGCGTCTCGCTCCCGAAATCCAAACAGGATTCAGCCGAATTCAGTCAGAACAAGACAAGGGCAAAAAAGGGCAGAAAAAATCGCGTGTAATCGCGTCGTCTCGCGAACGGCCTTCGCGAACGCGGGCGAGCGGCAAGGTTTGCAGTCGCGCATGCGCCCTCGTGCGGCGCCGCGAACGCTCGGCTCGACTCGGCTCGGCTCGGCGCGGCGCGACAGTCGGCCGCGGTTGCCGTGAGCGTGCGTGCGTGAGATGATGTCGCTGCTGCTGGTGGTGGTCGCGCTCCAGGCTCTGCGAGAACGAGGACGGTGGTGCACGACGGCGACGTCCGTCCACGGCTGTGCCGGTGGACGCGCGTAGTAGTGTCGCGACGCCGCGCTCTACGTCGCAGCCAGCGTGCCGCCGAAGGCGTGTCGCCGCGTCGCGTGTTTCGTGCACGTACACAACGAGACGGTGGACGACACTCGTGTTCTCACTCACATCGTTAGCTAGCCTGATGCGATCGTCGCGTCGGAACCATGGCTTCGGTGAAGGTGGCCGTGAGGGTTCGACCCTTCAACAAGAGGTGCGTGTGTCGTGCAACTAGTGATCGAGATAAGTATCGCGTCACGTAGTGAAAAGCGATCGCGGACAAAGAGAGAATGAGAGAGAGAGAGAGAGAGAGAGAAAGAAAGAAAGAAAGAAAGAGAAAGACGAGACTGCTGCGGCAGCAGCCGACTCCGCCGTCGCCATCGTCATCGCCGCGCTCGCGACAATTCGGCCTTGGGATGTTCGCGTCGTGACCGAAAGTCTTCTCACGAGGCGACGACGATTTCCATCGCGATTTCACCAACGGACGCTGCCCGGCGCGCACTTGTCGCGCGCGGGCGCGCGAATTTACCTGCGCACGCGAGTGTGTAACGCGCGAGGGATGGAGAGAGAGAGCGTGTTGACTGATCAAACATCTCGCGCGAGCACCGCAAACATAATATGTGGACTTGCACTTGAGCCTCGATCGTCCGGGTCAATTCGCGCTCGCGATGACATCGCGTGTCGACGAGCGTCATACCACAGTCATGTGTCCGGCTGCTATAGACACTCTCATGACGTATCTCTAGGACACTCCGACTATAGACGTCCACCGAATGTATTTTAGACTTCCGCGTTTTTCAAATCACCGCCGGTCGATAACGCTGCGCAACAATTATCGTGGACGTAATAACGTCGTCCGGTCGACGACGTTTCCACGATGTGTTACGGCGTATCGATCATTCGCGAGGACACTATCCGCGCCATAATCGTGGTGCAACGTCGTCGAGCGTGTGGGAGACGCTTAGGACGCGGTTGCTGATATACGCGCACGATAGCGACGCGATCACCACCGGGAATGCGGGTCATCGTCGCCCGAATGATGACGATGACAATGATGACTTGATCAGGCTGCCCTCGCTAAAGCTCTCGCAGAGCGACACGAAGATATCGATCCAATGAGTAGTCGTTTACTCGTTCCTCCTTGCCCGTATATTCATGATTCGTTAATACGTAGGTAGAAAAAAAGCCTTGCAACATAGAATCATTATTCCTGTAGTTGAAGACAAGCGTTACAGAAAACTCTGAAGGGAAAAAGGACGATAACCCGAAGGGCGAGCGACAACCTAACCTAACCTAACCTAATGTGAACCTAAAGCAATGTGTTATATAGCCATTTTATCCTACAAGGAAGCTTGAAGACAAAATCGCTAAGACAAAAGTAACAATATCTGAACGTCAATAACACTGATACCTAACTCTGAACATTCTTATGATCTGTTCTTTGTAGCTGAATTGCACGACCTTGCATTAGCTCTCTTTCTTTTTTATCTGACAAGGTCACGATTATATATCTGTTGCTTTTTAAGTTTCAAAATGCGCATTAATTCAGTTATAAAGAACAAACTTCTATCGTTTTGGTTCTTTAAATACGAATATTTAAACTTTCAATATACGGTTTATATACATGTACAGGATTATTTGATGCTATAAGTGTCCTATACTTCGTCTACACATAGATTTACTCGTAACTTTTTAGATGTGTTTGCTACGTCCAATGGGAGAATGTTATTATTGGACAAGATAGCTGAGTCCACAGACTCACTCGAAAAATTATGGACAATCTTTCTGTCCACAAATATACATGTAAGTTAAGTCAAACTGAATGCAAAATTCCTCTACTATTTTGCAAGTAATAATCACAGATTTTTGAGTTATCAACTAAAGAAAATTGGCGGATCGCGTGCGATAATGTTCTTCAAATGATAACTGAAAATATTTGTATTTAAAACGCAAAACAATAAAAATACTCAGAGTTAAATATCAGCGTTATTAGTGTCCAGATGTTGGTACTCTTAATGGAACATTATCTTTTTTCCGAGTTTCTTCTAAAAACTTTAACGTCTGACGCGAATATCGACTCTTCCCAAAAGCGCTTTTGATGCCTCGAGTCGATCATATACTCGAAAAAAGGCGCGAATATCTATATCGAAAGTTATTTGCCTTGGCGGCGCCTTGATAACACGCACGATTGATCGATCGCTCATATTAAGAAATTTTTTCACCGCGAAACCGACGAGAAAATATAGGCTTGGTTTTTTCATTATACTTTATATTATTTTATTTGTCATGCTTGCCAAGCCGTAAACAACTTTGTAAGCGGAAACACCGGTTTGTCTCGTCCTCAGTGTCGAAAATGTCAGCGGGATAGTTTTGTTATGCCGCCAAATGTCGCTTCGCGGAAAACAAGAAGAAAACAGAGAATAACGCGAGCGACTGTTTCTTTCGGAGATGACGACCACGTCGCGTTCGTTCGCGCGCGGAGCAACAACGCGGTGACTCCGACCTGTTCGCTGGATCAGAGAAATGTTATTGACAGCACGTGACACAATTCTGTCGCCGTGGTATCGACTGGTGTGCGACGTTATTACGGCCGTAGTCGAGGATGTTCGTCGTGTTCGAATTTCGACCGATTGGCGACGGGCGACGTCTGCATGCCGGATAACAGGATGCGTTTGTTGCTTTACAGAGAGCTGGCGATGAACGCGAAGCTGATCGTGCAGATGGACGGCAAGAGAACGCGGATCTTCAACACCAAGGTAAGCAAACTATCGCGTGTCGTCCTTGAATGCAAAGCTTTTCTTAGAGCGTCGTCTTCGAGCCGGTATCTCTGTAAATTTACGCGTCACGTGAAGTTTGCCGTGACTTTCGTAACGGATAATTCCATCTGCTACCAGCTCGTTACAAGAGTCCAATTCTCCGTCGAGAGAACGACTCTGTGGTGAAATCGCGTTGACCACTCTAATTTATATTGCACGTCGTACGATTTTCATCGATGATTCAAACTGAGACAATTCTGGATATATTGCCGCCGCTGATGACGAAGATAGAGTTGAACATCCAATTATTGATGCTTCTTACAAATAAAACCCAAAAGTTACACTCCGATTTCTTGTATTCAATTTTATTTCTTATGCATTTTTGTTGTACTTGTTGACGATAGGAGTGAGAACATTAAAAAGCTATAAACTGCCCGTGAAACTCAAAGTGAACCAAAATGAAAAAAATATGACGTAAATATTTATTGTACTTCTACATTTGTGCCAAATTAGAAAGAAATCGGAGTGTACCTTTCGGATAGGTTTACTTATTAGTCATTGACACTTTAGCAAAACTAATTTGTCTTGCCACCAGTGACAATTGTTCGTAGTTTTAGTTACGAAGTTCTCTTTTGAAATCATAAAATGCAGACAAGAAGTTTAACTGCAATGCCACAACCAACATTTTGTCTGAGTTGTTAATAACTAAATAACTAAAGAGATATCACTAATTGTGTTTTACCCTCTCTAAATGTCGAATATTTTTCGGCCGAGCTAAATCAACGACTCCGAAAAGTGTAGTCAAGTTTCATTTACTCACACTGAGAGAAAAATATATGATATTTGGAACTATAATGGCATAGTAAAAAGATTATAGTTAGGGATATCTTTTTTATAGTAAATATAATGTTTGTAATATTTACAATATAAGCATAGTATAACTGACTCATGTAAAACTTTTACCAAGAATTATAATTATTTGAAATAAAAAACATAGTAAGGTAGCAAATATTAAATGGTAAGAGAAATATTTTATATAGAACTATTTTATATAGTCAATACAATTGGAATATTTGGAAAATATTACATGTAACTATATTCCCAAAGCGTGTTTTACTATACATATAGAATAATAAGATGGTGACTATAAATGTGTGTTCATTCTGCTATATCTTCGTGTTTAGATGAACTATAAATATATGTTTGAGGCCAAAACGAACTATAAAATATAGTGAGATTATAGTTATTCCAACTATTTTTTTCTCTCAGTGCACAACTCTTTTGTTAGTCTAGATAGAATTCTAAATGTTACGGCTAAGATTTGTTTTTTTATTTCTACTAGAAAATTGCCAGTGGTATGTAGAATCTACAATAATATTCTAACAATATCTGCAAGCAAATTTAAGTAGTTGTGAAGGTTACACTGAGAGAAAAAAATAGTTGAAATAACTATAATCTAACTATATTTTATAGTTCGTTTTGGCCTCAAACATATATTTATAGTTCATCTAAACATGAAGATATAGTAGAATGAACATAGATTTATAGTCACCATCTTATTACTCTATATATATGGTAAAGCACTTTTTGGGAATATAGTTACATGTACCTATATTTGCCAAATATTCCAATTGTATTGACTATATAAAATAGTTAATTTCTCTTACCATTCAATATTTGCCATCTTACCATATTTTTTATTTCAAATAATTATAATTCTTGGTAAAAATTTTACACGGGTCAGTTATACTATACTTATATTATAAATATTACAAATATTATGGTAACATTTACTATAAAAATTATATTCCTAACTATAATATTTTTACTATGTCATTATAGTTCCAAATATCATACATTTTTCTCTCAGTGTATATATTCGTTTGTCTCTTGTTGTTAGTCTTTTTTGTCTGTCACAGTTAATTTTTATAAGAAGTATGACTAATCTGAATGGGCGTTCCAGAGACCTTTTTGCTAAATTTTACAAATATAACTGAGATAGGAATTCTGTCGTCTACATTGATTAGATATAAAACAATATCATGGTATTTGTTAGTCAATGTGTATTCATTTCAGCTAATTTCTCGTATCGGGATCATTTTTGCTATGAGAGCAAAACCATTTTTTGAGTGTTGCTAACGTTTACTTGACGATTCGCGATCTCGACAATTACGTTTTGCGAACGCCACGACGAATTCCCAAGGCTTGCGGTCATTATCAATCGAGGTTAATGGCTCTCGCACGGCTTTTCACCGTTCGCCGATATTCGCACGACACGCGAATCGGCTCGCCACTCGGTAGGGCCGGTTTTGGTCTCGTTCCACGAATTCAAATCGGATCGCTCCAGGTAGAAGAAGACGATCACGGAGATCTTCGAGACTTTCGATGTACGGAGTGTGTTTCGATTTGAAACTTATATTGGAAAGCGCATCCGACTATACTCGGCGGATGATCGCCGACTCGAATTTTATAAAGATGGTCGTCACGGATAATACGCGTAGGCGGTTGCTAACCTGTTACGAAGATCGTAGCTGCGATGCTAAAAACGCCTATCGCATATTTACGTCTCTAGCTTCTATGTTTATGAACTGAAGGTCCGTTTGTGACGTAAGCACGATTACATCATGAGCAACGCCGCGTTCTCGCGAAATTGCCACAAGGATTTGCAGGTCAGGTCGCGAAAGGAAGTGAAATCGATGTCGCGCGGAGATCGTAAAGGAATATAATGGAATCAAAAGGTGGATCAGCTGTATTAGCTTATACTTACGACTGTGATTGAAATCACGAGTATCAAGATAAATTGTGCAACGTAGATATATCTCCACGTTATTTAAAGATATCTGTGGCGCGATATCTCTCGAAGTGGCGCGACGATGTATTTGGCTAGAGTAATGCTGCGGCGATACCCATCGAACACGGAATTTCATCGTGTGAAATGAAAGGACATCACTGCAGAATGCTTGATCCGCGGTCATAAAGTATAGTATATGATGATTTTTACTATAAAATTCTCTCCATGTATGGTATAACTCGGACGTAGGAAGGAATTCACCTAGTGGTAGCCCGATTGCCGGGCAGTAATGGTCTTAAATGGACTTTCTAAAGGATTTCTAAGCCGGAAGTCGTGACGTGAATGAGCTTCTCTTTTTCGTTATGGCAGCGAGGCACCTCGCGGCTTGGGTGTCATAATTTCTGCTCGAACGAATTCGACCAAGTCGCAATTGCTAATGGGACCTCGATCTGTCCCCGGGCAGGTGCTCTCGGTCGTAGGAGCAGACGTGTTCAGGTAAACACCTTTAAGAAAGAAGATGGATGTGAAAAAAGTGCATCTGTCGCTTGCATTGTTACATGTTTCCAGCTGATTTAATATCTCGGCGCGCGATATCGACCGATCGATCCAGCTGTGTGCACGTCTTGAGCGGCCGCAGTCACTTCCCTCCGTCGCGTTTTTTCGCGCGAATCTCCTCGCTGAAGGATAACGGCATGCGTAGCCGCGCTACGTGGCTCTCAGAGAAAGTGCGAAAATCTCAGCTGGACCGCAGACACGACGGGTAACACACATCGCTTCGCGATCTCGCGACTGCTGCGGCTACGCAATCGAAAACGCGTTGTATAATCCCCGGCATTTTGTTCACATTCGATTGACTCTCATCCGGACGATCTTTCTCCGTCTCTCCGATCGAGGGAGAAGGCGCGAACGTCGTGGCGCAGAGTTTTCTCGTGGGCGACGAAATCCCCGGTGAGCGCGAACAGCGCAGCGCGCTCAGCCTTGATTGAAAGCGCGAAGCGCGCTTAATTGATTCCGATAAGTCGCGCGCCGAGCAAATTAATCGCCACGGATTGAAGCACCGTATCGAATCGCGATCGACACGAGGGACTCCGCAAATCGATCGTGCCTCGGCAATTTGCGAGCCACTTGGCCGCTCGAATTCACCACAATGCGTCACATCGAAAATTAACGCATTAACGCGGTCTATTTGTAAAATTATTATGGGCAAAAATTATTATAGTCCGGAGAAATGTAGTTTTCTATACTCAGAAGAAGACTCGTGCCGATCTCTCCTTGATCTCAATCACTCGTGAACACGATAAGAATGGAGTTTTTTTTTTCACGTGAAACTTTTCATTTTTCACGTTTCCGCTCTTAGGAAAAAGTTACATGATTGTTACCCTGAATCGGATGAATCACTTTCGCATTGTAGCGTGCCGACGCGTTCGGCATCGCGAGCGGCGCGCGCGAAGTCGCAAGAGCGAAATCGACGTGGAAATCATTCTGGTTTTACTTTTTAATCGTCCACCTTCTTGCATAATGCAGCACGATTCCCAGCGTTGTCTCGTCAGTAATGTAGGATTCCGACCTGGAAATGGCACGTGTTATATCGTCATCACCTTGCGAGCATCTAATCGTCTGCTACTTGCGAGACAATTGTGATTGCCAGACGGGAACTTTCCAAGAGCGACTCCCGCGTTCAGATTATGCGAAATCAAACGTTATTGTTATTTACGCGTGAAGTCGGCCCGGCTAATGGCAATTGAACTTTAGCACTAGTGCACCGATAACGATACTCGACGACGTCCAGCAAACGACGAGTAACGATTGCCGCTTTATTGTTCACAGACACCGGGTAGCTGCAGAGATATCGACCGGGAGAAGTACAAAGACTTCACGTTCGATCACTCCTACTGGTCCTTCGACTCGAACGACGAGAACTATGTGTCCCAGGAGGAGGTTCGTGTGCCGAATTCTTCCTTTGATCTCGACCCACGAATACCCATGAAAACGGAGAACGTGGCGAAAGTGACCTCGATGTCGGAACGCCGAGCTGGTCGACCTTGGAATCATTCGCGATAACGTTCTCCACTGTATACGGAAAGATCCAGCCGATTTTGTATTCGTGATCGCGCAACAGTCCGTTTATAATTAGCTCAGTCGTTTCGCCGTTCACCGTTTTAGTGAATCATCGTGATCGGAAATAAGAAAAGAATGAGCCTCGCGGGAGCATGCAGTGATGCAACGATGCTCAGACACGTTTCCGACGAACGTTGCGGATCTTTCGTAATTTTTCCAAAATTATCGACCTTTCCTTCCAAAATCCATCGTCTATACTATGTTATACACATATCCTCACATGATTACCATGCTAATGTACAGATACATGTTTGGAGAAATCATTATTTATCTCGTTACTCATAAACAGCTTTTCATTTCGAAATCATAGCGCATGGCTCGACACGCGGTCGTTGTTCGAGATTGTTTCATCCTGCACGGATAATTGTTACGTAAAAGGAATCAACGCGCCACGACTTAATTAGATGCCATTATGTAAAACACGTACGCGATCGTTACGCCAATGGTCGTGGTGAGTTCACGTCGTGCCGTGTCGTTACGTTACGCCAAGTCGCCTTCTGTCGAGCGACTGCGAATGAAAGACCTCGCTACATTTGTTTCTGTCCTCCCCCGCGGTTATCGTTGCGGCTATCGTCTATTGATGAAGAGAACGCTAAAAAAACACTCTTCTCCCATCATCCAGGTTTTCTACGATCTTGGAACGGACGTAATAGAAAGTGCCTTCGAGGGCTACAATGCCTGCGTTTTTGCCTACGGCCAGACAGGATCCGGGAAGACTTTCACGATGATGGGCACACCGGTAATGTTACAGCGCGGCTCGTCGAGAGAGGAGCACCGTTCCTTCGCAATCCTCCCTCTCGCTACAGGCGAAAAAGAACGTTTCCACAAAATGTAATTTAGCGAACGAGTGAAATTCCGATCAAAGTCACACTGTTTTCTATTGTTACGCTGCGCGATAAGAATTCCTTATCGCTCTATATTTATTTTGAATATAGTAATATTGATACGTACGAGTTCTCTCGTCCTGCCAAATGGACTCTAAATATTTCCTTGGCAGCAATCTTGTGTAAGAAGTATCGCGATTAAAATTTCATATCTGCTTCTAAATAATCGCTGCGTTTTGTCACGCGAGAGTTGGCAGGTCGAATTTTGTTTTGTATATTTTGCGAGGTAGAGACGCATCATTTTCGCTTGTAATCTCTTCTCCGCTTTTCTTTCTTGTGATTTGCTCATATCACGCTCGCCGCAGGAATCTCAAGGATTGATACCGCGAATCTGCAAGACACTCTTTGCTAGAATGGCAACTGGAAAGGAGAGCGGAGCGTCGTACAGGACGGAAGTATCGTTCCTGGAGATTCATAACGAAAAAGTGAGAGACCTGCTTAGACTGGACCAAAGCCAATCACACTCGCTTAAGGTGCGCGAGCACCCGAAACGGGGGCCTTACGTCCAAGATTTATCGAGTCACCTGGTCTACGATTATTCGGACATTCAGGTAACTGAAGACGGACGGGTTCGCATGTCAATTAAGCGCACGCCTCGCCTCATCTATCACGTTCCCGGCTGTTTTCGTTCCAGGAATGCATGGTGAGAGGTAATACGCACAGAACCACAGCCAGCACAAACATGAACGACGTGAGTAGCAGGAGTCACGCGATTTTTACGATAACCTTCGTACAGGCCGGCTACTCGGAAGGCAACATGCCGTCGGAAACCGTTTCCAAGGTGCACCTAGTCGACTTGGCCGGAAGGTAGTCTCGAGAAAAGTTATCCGAAGCCGAAATTTGCTTTCGAGTTCGTCGTCCGTGAACATGAGAGAATGAAAAAAAAAGAATAAAGAAATAAATAAAAGAGAAACAAGAAAGAGGAACAAAGCAAAATGCCGCGACGAATTGCGCGGTTATTCTTACGATTCTGCTCTGTCTTTAGCGAACGTGCGAACGCGACTGGAGCAACGGGTCAGCGGTTGAAGGAAGGCGCGCACATCAACAAGTCCTTGGTGACTTTAGGCTCTGTGATATCCGCACTCTCCGAACTAAGTTCGGGCAGCGACGCGTCGTCTATGTCGAAGCGGAACGTCTTCATTCCTTACCGAGATAGCGTGCTCACGTGGCTATTGAAGGACTCCCTGGGTGGCAATTCCAAGACTATCATGATCGCAGCGATTAGTCCGGCAGATTGCAATTACGGGGAGACTCTCAGCACTCTTAGATATGCCAATCGCGCGAAGAATATCATCAATAAACCGACCATCAACGAGGATCCCAATGTGAAGCTTATCAGGGAGCTCAGAGAGGAGATACAGAAATTGAAGTCCCTTATTGGCAAGGATATGGCAAGTATTCCGATATTTCCAAATGTTACTCTTCGAATTTTTTCGTTATTATTCAGAATAATATATTCGTCCGCTTACCCACGTATAGAGCGTGGAGAGGCCGCCGCAAGTATTGTTAGATCAGATCTACGAGAAACAAGAACAAGAGAAGGTACTGACCGAAGAGTGGACCGAAAAGTGGCGAGAAACGCAACAGATCCTACAGGAGCAAAAGGCGCTGGGACTGCGAAAGAGCGGCGTCGGCGTTGTTCTCGATTCGGAGATGCCACATCTGGTTGGCATCGACGACAATCTCCTCAGCACCGGCGTCACGTTGTATCACCTGAAAGAGGGCAAAACTTTAGTCGGCACAGAGGAAGCTCCTAATGTCCAGGTAACGATATTAAAAAGAAATATCAGCAGGAAAGATTTCGTGAATGTTTCCTTTATTACATTTTCTATGAATTATAAATTATCCACAGTAACTCACAGAGTTGAACAAATCAGGATTAAAAAGATTCAATGCATTATGACCAACAGGATATCGTGTTAACTGGCGCGGATGTAGAACCGGAGCACTGCATAGTCGAGCTGGATAGCGGCGTGGCGACGCTGCATCCACTTTCGCCACACTGCTGGATCAACACCGCCCAAGTGGACAAGCCGACGCGATTATCGCAGGGCTGCATCATTCTCCTGGGCAGAAATAACATGTTCCGATATAACGATCCAGCCGAGGCGGCGAAACTACGGAAGGAAGGCGGCTCAGGCAACGGCAATCTTCAGTCGACGGTCGTTAATCTGTCGAGACTGTCGCTTTTGAGCTGGAGCGTCTCTGATCTGCACGCCTCCTCTTCCAGTGATAATCTCTTGAACTCGAGTGAAGACCTCAGGGCGGTCGAAGAGCTGGAGCAGCAGAAGGCCGCTCTTATCAAGGAGAAGGCGGACTTTAAGGTTCGTCGATAAAGTATTGAGTTCTTGCTAGTTTTTGTGGTAAAAGTAAACTATCATATCTAATAGAGCTTCTTGAAAGCGTCCAGCTATTACTGCGTTATTTAACTTTCCTGCTGACTTATAATTGACGAAGAGTTATCATGGTTGAAGTTGAGTGCTATACTCATTTTTTTGGAAAAATATAGACATATTAACACAATGTATATAAAAATTTGCTAGAGTCTTCCAACAGTTCGATATCGGTATCCATTCGTTGAAGGAACTGTCGAAAGTTACCAACTATAAATTGTCTTCACAGAGGGAACAAGAGGAGCGCGAGGAGAGATGGGCTGCTCGGAGAGAGGCTCTCGAAGGAGCACAGCGCGAGCTGGAACGCGAATGGGGCGCTCAGTGGAAAGAATGGGCGGACGCGATCACGGCCTTGGAGTCGCGGCAACGAGATCTGCGCGTGCGACGGCATCACCTGGAACAAGAGCGACGGGACGAAATGACGCAAGTAAGTGACTCGGATGCGCCGTCTCCGGACTTGAATGTAATCTCGACCAAGTACCAATTCTACCTCGTCCTTGTCGCTCTCGGTGTCCTTATTTGCTTGTCTGGCAACATCATCATCTACTCGCACGTTTGCCCGTTGAACATGTGATCTTCCACGCGTATGTGTGGGGTCGGTCGCGGAGTCTCGTTCGCTCATTTCCTCTCGTCCATCAACTATGTTTCCGCGATTTCGCGCAGGACAAGCGATCCGCGAGTGTCCGGATTTCACTTGGACGGCATCTCGGGAGCGCAGACTGCGTCGATCGATGCGACTTTGCGAGATTTAGAGCGAGATTTCTGCGATTAGGATACACCGCGGTAAGACTTGTCGGTATCTTTGACTCTGTCAGGTCTCTCTCAGTGTGTATAATTTCCCTTAAACTCTGTGCAACTCGTCGTCTGCGACGGATTTTGTGTTCGTTGTTTACCGAATAATACGAGATTCCGTCTCTCGATTCCTCTGTCGGCTGTCAGGAATCTTCGAATATTGCGCCTATTTACGATTAACACGTTTAATACTTGCCGTTTGCTACAGGTCCTTTTATGTTAACGACTTGCGTGACTACGCGCGTCAGCGTACATATGAGTATTAAGACTTTACGCCGACTCACAAAGAAAAAAAAAAAAGAAAAGGTGCTAGTGCTGAGGAGATATTGCCGGACAGATGGCATTCCTTGGAATGTTATGTATTAAGTACCTTAGCTGAGAATGTTAAGAATGAAGTATGTACATATCTGGGCTTGTTTGTATAGAAACGTCTATGGGTTTGTTATGCGAGAAATAATATAAAGGAAATAATTATTGTTATACATACACACACATATATATATATATATATACACATATATATACATACGATATATTGTTGATTAATAAATTTTTCATACGAAAATTGGCGTTTGATCCTCCACGAAATATTGTCGCACGCACTCACTCTATGTTTCTTTTCGTTGTTTCTCACTTAATCTCTTAAGAAAGTCACGCACTCGATCGTTTCATTAATGCTCCCGATTAACAAACCCAATTTAATCGTTGTCTCACCTCGCGACGACCCGCTCGCATGTGTGCAACCATTATTCCGAGTGCTAACGTTAGAGCAATGAGCAGATTTTGTCCGCTTTCTCGAGGTAATGTAACGCGGGAATTGTAACCACTGTTTATTTATATCTCCTGACTTATATGTCCGTTAATTTCCGTCGAGCATATCCGTGCCTTTGTTACTGAAAGCGTGCACAGAGGTGACATCGGAGCGATTATATGCGTTAATGTGCACATGCCATCGTCAAGTTTGCTATCTGTGACGATCAACTTGCTTTTTTCGTATTTATATTTCGAGGAGAGCACGCGGAACACATATATTTGTATATTTCCGATTTGTTACTCACTCTTCATTTTCTTCATAGATATAGTTTCGATCCGTTTGATTTCGCGACGCGGTTTTGCTTTGCCTCCTTTGTTTCGCGTGCAACGAAATGTGCACGATTATTATATATCGAAACTTCGTATCCTTATGTTTGATTTTGAATTCTTTTTTTGTTAACGCCTCGGTGTATGTGTGTGGTACCAGGTAGAAAATATGTGTAGGGAAATCGCCTCTCTGCGCACAACATTGCAGTCCAAGCATCGACAGCTGCAAGAGATCATGAACAGTCACGAACGTGCGCAAAATTTTCACCATCAGTGGGAGAAGGTAAGGAACCTGCGGCCTCGTGAGGAGCTGAACGTATCTTTGAGTTTTTGCTCGTAGCACGCACGCATACTCGCACCACGTTCATATAATGATGTTACTTTTTCTTTCTTTCCTCTTTCTTTTCGTAATGATCCATACAACACGCAACACTTCTTGTTGACAGTCGCGAATAAAACAACGGGACAAGGTGTCCTTGCAGTAAAGAGGACGTGGGATCGTGTGCGATTATCTTGAGGAACGAGTGTTTTGTCTCGTATATACATATTTGCGAGGAATGAAGCATAATGTGTATTTCAGACGGATAACGGTGCCGGAAGTGACAGCAGTCTGCCCGAGTCGTGGTCCAGCCTGAACGACGAGAAGTGCATCGACAGCGTCAGAGAGCTGGTCAATCATCACGTAAGTGAATCGAAGAGTCTTGTCCGTTTCCCTTTTCTGAGAACGAGAAGTTTCTAACGAGAAATCATCTCTCAAACAGAAGAAAGAGCTGGTCGCCTTGGAGAACGAGCTGCAGAGCAAGGTGAGGTCGTTGAATGAGCATCAGAGCAAGGTGGACAAGATGGAGGAGGAGCTGATGGAAATCGCGAAGAGGCAGAAACACATGTTCCATTTAGAAGTATGTAATGTATTCGTGAAACCGGTACTGCGTTAGTGAAAATAGAAATTGTTACACAACGAAGATCGCAATGGAATAACGAGCGTGAGTTCGATGTACGCGAGAGAGTTCGTTAGCGATGTAACAATACAAATTTCCAGCATTCATAATTCCATTTCGCGAGCAGGACTCTATTTTATTCCGCGCGTGGTTGTTTTCATTACGTGCAGTTTAGGATTCGAGTATAAAACGAAAAGCAAAGGAGAATACCTTCTCACGACATTGCAATGTCCATTTTGATCGGCGAGCAGACTCCATCGCTCACTTGCTCCAGGATTCACTTGATGATTTTCAGTCGGCCGACGAAGGAGTAACGGACAAGAAGTTGTTTCTGTCCAAGCGGACGCAGGAGCAGATGCAGGAGATCCTACGGAGGAAGCAGAGTCTCTCGTTGAACCTGAAGCGCGCGCTACCGGCGTCACCGGGTGATCAGTCGTCGAGCGGCGACGAGACGACGTCCAGCTGCGACATGAAGTCCTTCCAGGACGCGAACAATCGGAAGCTCCAGATCGTCTCGGCCCTGAGCCTGTTGCCGCAGAGTGTGCCGAGTTCTATCGAGACCATGGAGACCTTTCACACAGCGGCGGCTGATTCTCCGGATCCTCCTGTGGTGTTCGTGGACGCCGACACGACGCGGACGAGCGACTCCACTGCGAAGAACGAAGACGCACAGGAGCAGGAGGAGGAGAGTGGGGAGGACGATGTGACGCGCGATTGTAGAATATCACCGGAGATAGAGAGTGAAGGCACGACAATAATAAACACCGGTAAAGTTTCCTCGTTCACCACGGAGACGGCGACGACGACGACGACGACGACGAGCGACGAGGAGGAGCAGAAAGAGAAGGAGGAGAAGAAGACTAGTTCGCCCACGGTGACTTCCGCGATCACGGAGAGCATCTTCCAGGACTCGCTGGAGTCGCCGATACAACAGAATCCGGCGATGAAGAGACTGAACCAAAGAATCGCGCGTCAGCGGATGATGGTGATGAGATGCCTGGAGGCGAACACCCCGTCGAAGGAGGACCTGAATCGACAGATAATGATACTGCAGGACTTGCAGAAGCAGCAGATCGAGCTGGAGGTGTCGCTGCTGGAGGACGAACGAAAGAATCAGAGGCAACCACCGGCGCGGTGTAGCGACGGCGACGATAGGCTCGCGATCGCCAGCGTGGGCAACGTGGACTATGTACAGAACGAACCAAATGCTTATTGTAGTGTAGAATCTACGAATAATAGCTCCGCCATTCTATTAACGGTAGCGACAACCAGATCTCAACTTTTCAGGAATAACAGGCCTAATACTAATGATCAAGAGACTTTGTCGGAAACGACACCGCCCAGGCGATCCTCCAGTCGCGGTTACTCGACGGTCTATTTGACGGTGAGTTCACCGCGTCTTCTCCTTCTTTTTTACTCTCTTTCTCTCTGCTTCATAGCAGCGTTCTCCATTTGCGATATTGGTCGTATTAATTATTAAAAAATTCCAAGAGATGCAATACTGCCTCGATTCACCCGAGTCGACTTTTACAGAACGTATTTCATCATGGACCTTGTTCTTTTTTCTGCGCAGAGCCAGAATCGTGGCGACCGATTGAGCAGTCCGTATTCCCTGACGATCACGAGATCCCTGCCGTCGTTGATAGCGAACGACGGCGACTGCGACAGCGTGATCAACATGATCGTCAGTATACCGTCGTACGTGATACGCGGAGCTGGCACGTCCAGCCATTACGAGTATGAGGTGCGAGTCGTAGCACAGGACGACAGCTGGACGCTGTTGCGTAGATACAGAAGGTTTCGAGAGCTGTATATATCTATGCGGCAGAAATACGGTAGCAAGGTACGGTCGCTTTGATTCGACCAAGTCGCCATCATGAATCACTTCTAAACTTGGCCAATTGTCGAGACGAGAGACGCGTAGTCGCTTTCACAATTATATGTGACATGTACAATTGATCTGATGGAAATTCTCTGCTCGCACAGGTCGCAGCGATACGCTTTCCTCCGCGCCAGGTTTTTCCAAAGTACGAGGTCGTGGCGAGACAGCGCAGGAAACGTCTCGAAGAATATCTTCGCCGATTGATTCAAATCTGTTCGGAGCTGCCGCACTGTGAGCCTCTATACAAGCACAACGGCAATCTCAGCAACATAGATAAGCAATCTCTCTTGGAATTCAGTCCGTTCTTCAGGCGCGGCATGTTCGAGAGCAGCAAATACGGCACCAGCTAAGATATCCTGTGTACGCTGCGTCGATCTTCATCCTTCTTCACACGCCGAAGAGCGAACGTTGTCTCTTCGATCAAAGATAGCGTAGCGAACGTACGTTTGCGATACATTGTATTTTTCGTTTTCCTTTTCTGTCTTATTTATAAAGATGTAGTAGTTAGAGTGAAGGAAAAAGTATCGATAAATCGCGCGCGGCAGCGTGCTCGTACACGAGACGAGTCGCCTAACATTCGTGGTATTTCTTGAACTGTCGATATCGCGGAAAATTATGCGAGACTGCCTCTCCTAGTGTCTCGTCGGTGTCGATGATCCGATACAATTTTCATCGATGCTTCGAGAAGCACGCTATTTATTATATAAAACGGCTACGTATTAATAATCCAATGACAAGTATGTTGAGTGACTCGTCCGGCGTGATATTTTAGTCGTTACAAAAAATGTATGCTTCCAGAAGCTTAGCGATTGTAAGACTGTTCTAGACAATTAGCGTTCCCTCTCGTTACCGTCTCGAGCGCATCGCCGACGGCGAATCCGAAGTGCACGCGGGGATATTAACGAGAAGGCAACGTGATATATTCTTTACGAGAGAAACTCGTCTATACGATGGTTGGCGGAAGCGAAACACATATCGCGTCATAGTGATTTATTTTATCTTTTACAGATATTTTCCTATAATGTCTTTCTCCTGATAGAATCCACAATCACGAAGTGTACCTTCCTGCGAATATAGTCGAATCTTGTAGTCGATATAATTCTCAGTTATGTTGTTAGCGCGAGCACAAACGTTATTGTAAATTACGCATTTTATCGCAAGAAATTATGCGGGAGCTTATCAGTAGCTACGGTGATCATGGGACATCATATAGTTCGTTCACGATAGTCTCAAAGAGTATTTATTTTATGCGTCGAGAGTAATGTTTTGTACACACGCGATCCAAACTATAGAAGAGCAATCGATGGGATTGAAGAGAGATAGAACTTTCCATTAATATGTAATTATATCAACTTGGGTAAGCGAATATGTGAGTTGTTACTAATAAAAATTGAATATGTTTGAGGTGATAAATTATTATAAACACGCACGCATATGTAAGTGTCTCGATTCAAGTAGATCGATTGTTTCTTTCTCGTGAACGTGATAAAAGTGTCGCGATTCAATATCCGGAAGTGAAGAAATAAGAGTTGGTCTCCCTGGTGATACTGTTCACAATATTGTTTCCTACATTACATATTTGTTTGCCCGTGTTGATACATACACCGCGGTCTTTACAATGTTCTGCAGATGCGTCAGCTTGTGAGATGGCGGTGTTACAAGCGCAAAAAGACATCATATCGCTGTTAAAGTTCTTCCGGTTCTGGGGATTCTATACGCATACGTACATATACATTTATATATGTATGCGTACGTATATTGTTACATACATAATACTTATATAGTATGTATATTATATAAATGTATAGTGAGGAAGTAGCAGAACCATCGTTAAAGTTGGAACCGTTATGCAATCATCGGCATTTATTTGAATAATATTAAACCAAAGTGCGATCATATGTTATTATTATTATATTATTATATTATTACTATATTATTATTATTATATGACAATTATCGATTTCGCGAAAGTGTTGCCGCATTGCTATTAATGACGACTGGTCAAATTGGCTCGTGCGAATTAAGTATTAACGATTACCAAAACGCTTCTTTCATCGGTATGCGAAAGACTTTAGAGATATTCGAAATTATGTAAAACGGCTTCCTTAATTACATAGCCAGGGGTATTCAGCCTTGTTATATTCCGATCAATTGATGGATAAGATGGGGAAAGTAAAGAAAAAGGGGATATTGAGAATTACGCACTTTCAGCTTCGAACGCTGCTACTGTTTAGTACCATATAAAGTAAATTATAACGACTAAGCGCCACAAGTACGATAAATATGCTTTTCGTAGTTAAAGGAAAAAAAAAGCAAATATTTATTCCATGGCTGTGTATAACCGGACTCGAAAACCCCAAGAGAAGTGGGAGGAGAAAATCATCCTGGCTAGGTAGTAATAGTAATAAACACGGCGCTCCAGCACAAACATCATGAGAAGTGCGTATTATCAAGTATCAAGGTATCAAGTATGTGTATCAAGATGTTATACGGAGGCAGTTACTTACGGACATTACCTCATACAATTTTCAAGGAAAAGATAGAAAGCGGGAAAGAAAGTGACAGAGAAAGAAAGAGAGAGAAAGAACAATCATCGTCGTTATCCGCTTTTTTATACTTGATCTACGAGACCTATGTTCTGTAAGTGTAACAATGGAGTACAATAAATTGTTATAATGCAGCGCATTCTTCTGTTTATGTATCACATATCACGCTGCGACAACGTATTACCACTTTGAACATTCGTGTCTCGCATAAACTTACTTTTTTCACATAGAAAAATACTAAATAACTACACTTTATATGTGTTATATATATATATATATATATATATATATATATATATATATATATGCTTTGCATTTCCCTAAATTACAAGTCTAGATTATTTTCCTTTTTTTCTGAGCATTTCGCAATATGTGTATTTGAAATATATATATATATATATATATTATATACACACATATATATATATATACATATACATATATTTATGTGTGTAACTCCCTGGAGAATATCTATTAAAAAATGTATATACTGTCCAATTTTTTACAATATACGCGTATCTTGATTTACTCAGTCTAAAAATTTACATACAGAAATTAGTTGCTTTTGCACATACACACATATATACATAAATAATTTGAAGAATCGAGTGAAGAAATATAATCGAACATTGCGTATGATACCCAATAGGTAAGTAAACAGGCATTGTCCTTCGATATTCAATTCCAGCAATAAATTACGCTCAACAATAATATAATATTTACTTAGATTTTTAAATGAACACTTGCTCGCTCGCTAAACTATCCGCGAACGGTGCGACGATTACACGTGTTGCGAAGTAAAACGTCAAACCAAACGTGATGGAAATCGGTAACGCGGGTAGCGCTTTCTTGAATATAGCCAGCAGCAGCAGCGTCAAACAGAGGCCCTGTAACGAGCAAGAAGCGCGTTTATTTTGTAGCAGCATGCAAGACAAGCATAAAGCATTCGACGAAATATTTCAAGAAAAATCAGATCTTATTTCAGGAAGTAATAAGTGTCTACGATCTTTCACTCTGAACTCTCTTACCGTAATTCATGATAGACATACGATGAGAATACGTACGATAAGAATAGCGACAAAGCAAGCCAACGTAGTGTTCCAGTCGCCGTAACTGGACGCTTTTCCGACGAGCACGCTGTAGAATATAAAGTCACCGAGACCTAACTTGACTCCGCGCTCCTCTATGGGAACTGGTATTGCTATTACTCCTTGCAACTCCAACGGATGGTTCTGCTGCTGTCTTCTGGCAGGCTCAACGACCGCATCATAGTTCTCGCGTACCTCTCGTGCGCGTCTTGCGCTACGTTCACCTGCGCGATCGGGACTGTTGATTTAATACAATAGTCTTGGGAAATTACATTGGCACATACGACTCCTACCATGCGTTTCCACCCATTCAGTGGTGAAACCTTCCTCCTCCGTGTCGCCCGATGCGTAACTACATTGATTTCCCGTTCGATCGCGCGTAGGAGACGTCGTGGTTTCTCCCGACGCTGTGGTCTCTCCCGACGTCGCATCACTGCCAGCCATCGTGGCTGCCTGCACATATCCAGCATACGTCACAGTGAATGTGTACAACATTGTGGATGAATATATGAGAGCGGGGAAAATGGACTCGTTCCGTTCCTGCGCTGTTTCGACTAGTATTCTCAATGGGCCCTTTGGTGTTAAGACCGCAATCAGATCTAAATAAAAATGAACGTGAATAAAAATGCCCATATAGTCGACTTTACGAGTTTCCATCTCAGAGATGATTTACCCCAAATACTTATAACACCAAGCACAACCCAGGCTGTCCATTCGGGCAAATACTTGATAAAAACAAGAGCCATCAAGGCAGAAATGAAGATCAGATATGCCTGTTGAAGTTGCAATGGTCCTCGCCAATGGATACATATCATACCAACTACACCAAAATTCCATAATCCTATACTTAGTGTGATAAAATCCATTGGAATGTTATATGCTCTCAATACTTGTCTGCAAATAGAAAGAAATCTCTCAAATACCAACTGAGAAAAACAGAACATGTCAAAACACTTATCCCCTTCTGAATACTTACTCGCAATATAAGATAGAAAACATAGAAAGCAACAGCAAAGAACTTATGATCAACCATCCATGTATGACTTTATAGAACTTGTATTTGTAAAGGAGAATAAGTATCACAGTCATGAACACAATGACGCTCATGAGAATCAACGAATTGGCAAATGCCTGCCATACTTTGGTACTTGTGTCAGAACTGTCCTCGTGAAATGGGGTGTATACTCTGCAAATAGAGATTCTAATAAGTTCACCTTCTTCAAAAGAGAAGTTCAAAATGAAACACCACGAAAGCTCATTCCAAACTCACAAGTACATTCCCTTAGTTGTGTAGAAATTCACAGAACCAATAGTAGCCACTACAACCAGCATACACAGTGAAACAGGGACGAAGAGTTTGATCACATGTGCCGCACCATACTTCAGTTCTTCCTCCTCTTCTAGCCTCAGTCTACTATGATTACTACTGTCAGACGCGCTTCTTGCTGTAGTTGATCGTGTGACAGTCGATCGTGTGACAGTTGATCGTGTGACAGTGGAACTTGGCACTTCGATGTTTACCTCAGGAACTCCATTTTCCTGTTAAATATTATTCGTAATTAACATAACACGGTGATGCTTGCGCGTTAAAAATTTATCGCAACAAAAATCATTCGAAAAAGAGAAGAAATCCGAACGAGAAAGAGGGAAAGCAATAGACTAGGAACTGCCGGAAAAATTACTTCTTCACTGGTAATTCTAGAGCGTGCCTTTCGACGCTCGTTGACCAAGATCAGGTCGTCCGTGCGAGACTCCGCGACGTGACCGTCCATCAGGCTTGTGTATTCGTTTGCCGAGTCGTAATCACTCTCAGACATTCATCAACGTCTTGTGTTCCTGGGCGGGCGAGCAGAAAAAGCGTGACAGTGACGTTTGGCAACTTCCGAATCGTGCTGTACCCGTATCTTCGACACACTTCACGAATCGCTATCTGGCACACCTGGTTTACATTAGAGAGAAGAAAGTGGTTGCTTATAACCGACCACGGAGCGTTTGATTCACTTAACTGGTTTAAATCGTTTGGCGGAGCAGAAATCTCACTGCTTGTTTGACAACTGTTGACAACCGTTCACACCTCTCCACTCTCGGTGTCGCGCGAATGACTCACTGTGCAACCGCCATCTTTATAAACTATGCATCAACTTTAGTTTAACTACACAAAGTGCAGTTGCAACATGAAAGACTTATTCTTTTCAGTTGCACTAATTTGCATTACAAAGTAACACGTATTTATTTGCAATTAAGAAAATCTAACAAAGTATAGCAAAATAAGTCTCATTCTTACATATATTTGCAATAAAAAAGAATGCAGCAGATCGACTATTTTTTCGAAGTATAGTTTTACTTTTGTTCGCTACGAGCCGCCACCGTTGCTCTGACGAGCAAACGAGGACGTAGTACTTTGGCTGCGTTCAGATTCCCCACCCGGGTGTATTCTATTACTAGAAGTGCTATAGTATACGAGTATGTCACATATACTATAGTGTTTCTAGTAATAGAGTGCACCCGGATGAGGAATCTGAACGCACCCTTTGATTGACCTCTAGGGCTGCGTTCCAAAACTCTATTCGACGGGTAGAGTAGCATTTCATTGATCAATAAGAACAAAGATAACTAGAATTTCTTTATCATAATTGGTTAATTAAATGTACTCTACCCACTGAGTAGAATTTTGGAACGCAGCCTAGGATGAGATAGGCTTATGCAGGATTCATACCGCGTCCGATGTCTGATATACGAAGTCCGATATCCGATAAAAGAATAGCTTTCCAATGGAGAATTGAATTTTATATTAGAAAACTGTTCTCCTATTGGATATCGGATGTCGTACGTCGAACATTGGGCGCGGTGTGAATCCTCCATTAGCAGCTTTACCCAGTACTCCTTTTTTTGTACACCCTATATATTCAAATAAACGAAACAAAGACGTAGTACGACTTAGCGATTACGCAGAAGCGCCGCCATTTTTTCCGAATAATACGACTCAACGACAAGTCAGACGCGCTTTTGTTCGATTGAATATATTGTAATAAAGAATAACAATAACGTAGTAATAACAATAACGTAGTAATTCAAGAGTGAATTTTCTCGTCTTTGTTCCAGAACCTTTCAGAAGTGAACGTGAGAACACTCAGGACTTTTTATCATCTTATCAAGCTTTTCTATTCTCTTCTCCCCACTATCCGCCGCACCTTGCAAATGAATTAAGGGACGTCTACATTGGAAGTAAGTAGTAAGAAGTAGGAAGTAAGAGTAAGAAATTGACCAACCACAGTCGAATGTGAGAAGAATAATCAACAATGATTGGTCAATTTCTTATTCTTACTTCCTACTTCTTACTGCTAACTTCCAAGGCTATGTTCAGAAATCCTACTCGATGGGTAGAGTTACTTTAATAAACCAATCATAATAAATAAATCTTAGTTCCTTTTGCTCTGATTGGCTAATTAAATGTTACTCTACTCACAGAGTAGGGTTTCTGAACGCAGCCCAATGTAGACGTCCCTTTACGAACAGTCAACGCGGCAAACAGCGGCGAGTAGTAGGAAATCCACAGCGGGTTTCAGAGAGCGAGAAACTGACCTTTTTGTTGAACAAGTTACGTTTTGAACCGTTGTAAATATGTTGTATTAGTGTTTGAATATTAGACACGATGAGCTTTTCCAGTGATGAAGTAAACTTTCTGGTTTATCGATACCTGCAGGAATCTGGTAAGATCATAGCATCCATACATAACCTCGCGATTGCTCGACGAACGCTACTTTATTCTTCGCTTTTTCGTTCCACTCGCGTAGCGAGAATCTCCCTCACGTGTTCTCCTCGTGCACCTTCGTCAGGAGCTCCGACGAATGAGCAATCAATGCTTAGCGAGAAATCTCGAGCGCGTCATTCCAATAGCGCGACCGAGAACCTGCAAACGATCCGAAGATCACGATTACCATTCAAGATAAAGTCGTGAATCTCTCGTGATTGTAGCAGTCACGGGAAGAGAATTCTGAATTCAGATTGTCGATATGGAAATTCTATGGGCTATTTTTCAAAAGTTCCTGAAAAAAATTCAAGTATAGTAGTAAAAAAGATGATGCTATGTTGTGCGTGCGTGTAATAAAAAAGATGACTATGTGTGTGTGCGTGTGTGTATGTGCGTGCGCGCGTGTGGTGTGTGTGCATTAAGAAAAGTTGCTTATAAGAGAATAAAGGTGTTTAGCTGAACTAAGCTTTAGCTGTACTGGAGCTTTGTTCCTTTTTCCTTCAATACTAAACTACATAGAGTAAGTCACCTAAAATTAGATTCTAAAATATCTATTGTTTTCATATAATAGGAAATATGTAAGGAATAAATTATATGGTTAGAATAAATATTATGGTAAACCAACCTTTTTAATCACATAATTTATTCCTTACACATTTTCCTCTAATCATTTATTTTATATATTTATTTCACTATAAAGGCAAAAAGTTGATTCAACTGGTTCAGCTAAAAAGCCAAACTTCTTGTTTTACTTTAAAGATAAAACATATGTATAACTTAGTTCAATTAAAAAGGATAGACTTAGGATAACAATATCTTATAAATTAAGAGTTAGGTATTATAGAGCTTGAATCTTATAGATTTTAAGATCTAGGTATTATAGAGTTTAATTTGGCTAAGGTCTATTGCTTACATTTTGAACTCTTTTACTGATAAGAGTGTTTCTAAATGTATCTATAAACCAATCAGGTAGTTTATATTTAGAGGTATTTTTATCAATAAAAACCTATGTCTCAAAAAACAAAATAAGAACCTATGATTTAAGAAACATTTTATGAGACCATTTTTGCAGCAGATTTAATTAAGTTTTTTACTGTCTATATGTCAGTGTCCAAAATATATACCCAATATTATTCTGAAGTTTATTATTTTGATTTTTCTATCTCTTGATTTCTATATCTTTGAATTTTTATTTCTCACAGGTTTTCAACATTCTGCGTACACATTTGGTATAGAATCTCACATATCCCAAAGTAACATTAATGGAGCATTAGTGCCTCCTGCTGCTCTCCTGTCCATACTGCAGAAAGGGCTACAGTATACTGAAGCAGAAATATCGATAGGTGAAGATGGTACAGAACAGAGAATGGTGGAGTCCTTATCCCTCATCGATGCTGTTATGCCAGATGTTGTTGCTACAAGACAGAATCAAATCAACCAGCAAAAGCAACAGAAGACTGATGTTCAAGACACAAATGGTGAAGAAGGTAATTTGTCTGCCACTAACCTCCCTTACAGTAATCTTAGAGTTAGTCTTATCTTTAATAGTCTTAGATATTAATAATTGTTATCTCAAACTTGTCCCATGTGTGAGATATTCAAATCTGAATTTAGAGCTAGCTTTTATTTTTTTTATTTGAATAATATGTAATATATACGGAATAATATGTAATATATATGAAATATTGCATTGATCGTGATCGCAATTCAACCGAAAAATTAAAATATAACTCTAAATGCAAATGAGAGAGTATTTCACTTTAAAAACAAGCTCCAAGTTACAACTATTAATATAAATCTTATACACTCAACATCAAGTATGTGATTTGTTTTGCAATTGATGAGCTTGTGAACAAAGCCGAGTGCAGAGATCGAGAAAAATTGCGACGAGCCTGGTTCACCCTGGTCTGAAAAAAATTGCAAGTTTTCATAGACCTCCTTATAACCAGGCAGATTAATACGGAACGGCCATGGATAACGGTCATTTTGCGGATTGTGTCGCCGGTTACTTTCTTATCTATGTCGCGACCATACGAAGTGATCTTTCCGCGGAAAGATCTCTTCGTTAGCGTTCGTCATGCTGGCGAAAGGCACAGGCGTACAGTCCCTCATCGATCTGTCCGTTAACTAGTGGCGAACAATTCCATGTACAGCACTGTTGCATGTAACGTGCAAAAACGTAAGAAGGAATTTACGTTAAATTCATATCTTTCACTTTAGATACTCAAGTTCCTATCGTTTCTTGTTACTTTGGAATTTCTAATAGATATAAGGCAAGAATATCAATATCTGGATATTAATAACACTGATAATTCTGAACGGATAGCTAATTCTGGACATTCTTGCAGTTTTTTATTGATCTTTTTAAATAGAAATATTTAAACTTTCAATATAAAATACATACACATGTACATAAAATACATATACATGTATTCTTTACATTGAAAGTTTAAATATTCTTATTTACACAATCCAAAACAAGAATATCCAGATTTATGTAACAGTATTATTAATATCCAGGGATTAGTGTTTTTATCTTATATACTTATCTTATATATTTTTATCTTTTATCTTATATCAAGTTTTTATCTTATATTTTATATATTTCATCATTGTTTGCTGATATATTCTAAAAAAGATGTCTTTGCTTTCGTTAGTCTTTGTTGCTGAGTTTATATTATATACACATCTTTACTTATGATTGAAAATCTCTGTTGATTGAGACAGCATACGATTTGTGTGTGATTTTATTTTCTTTTTTACTTATTATCTCGATGATCACTCTTCCCTTGACTTTCTGAGCGTTGATGCCTTTTTCTCTAGCTTTCAACTCAACGCCAACACGACGTGTTGATAGGGGAGTTGAGACGTGACTAAGCCGCTGTATAGTTGTATGCTTGTAAAGATAATTCTGGATATGCATGCATACATAAAGGATAAAATGTATTCTACAGGGTTCACACTCGACATGTACTCTTCGACTGTTTTTCAGTTGTCACATCCAACGAGGGTGTTAGCAGCAATGATCGAGGAGGCGATAGAAACGAGATGGAAGTGGACGAACAGCAGCCAGGAACAGGCGCAGGTTCGAACACGAGCGCAGTTGAAATACCTGCGAGTAAAGCCACGAAACTACGCGGACACGAGTCGGAAGTTTTTATTTGCGCATGGAATCCAACGACCGACCTGTTAGCTTCAGGCTCAGGTGATAGCACCGCTCGTATTTGGGATATGTCGGATAATTCACAAGCTCCCAATCAACTTGTTCTACGTCATTGTATTCAGAAAGGTGGAACCGAGGTTCCGAGCAACAAGGATGTTACATCGTTAGATTGGAAGGTATGAGCGAATGGCAATTGTATCTTATATCGTATTGATTAATCTCATTAATCCGCGAAGGATTTTGTTTCTATCTCCGATTTTGTTTTTATAAGAGACGGCGAAGCTGTACTAATATAAATTAATTATATTAAACAATTCACATTGCAGTGTGACGGAACTTTGCTGGCAACAGGAAGTTACGACGGTTATGCAAGAATCTGGACTACTGACGGTAGATTAGCATCTACCTTAGGTCAACATAAAGGTCCGATCTTCGCGCTGAAATGGAACAAGCGCGGTAACTACATACTGAGTGCTGGTGTGGACAAGACAACCATAATCTGGGACGCCGAGAGTGGACAGTGTACGCAGCAGTTCAGTTTTCACTGCGCACCGGCGTTAGACGTAGACTGGCAGACGAACACGTCGTTCGCCAGCTGTTCGACGGACCAGTGTATTCATGTGTGCAAACTCAATGTCGACAAACCCATCAAGAGCTTCCAAGGACACACAGTGTGTACACACGCTTAGTGAGAAGTTCTCACGCAGTGTTGAGCATTGATCAATTAGAGTTTTCCTTGACTAAAGTAATCTGCATATCTGTCATTAAAAATTCATTATTCGTCACTCATGTAATCCCGAATAATCATCGTTTGATCAAATTAATGATTAATCAGTGTATAATTATTAATATCAAAGTTTGATAAACCATCAATAGGTGAAATTATTTGTGATTTTATATGTGATGATCGGTTAACTTTGATTACCGATTTTCCGATTATTTCAGTCAAGGAAAATTTTAAATGATTAATCCTCAACACTGTTCTCACGCGATACGTTCTTTCGTGCATTTCTTTCATTCCATCTCCTGCGTTTTACAGAATGAAGTTAATGCGATCAAGTGGGATCCCCAAGGCAATTTATTGGCGAGTTGCTCAGACGACATGAGCTTGAAAATCTGGTCCATGAAACAGGACTCTTGGGTGCACGATCTGCAAGCGCACAGCAAAGAAATCTACACTATCAAATGGTCACCGACTGGACCGGGTACGCATAACCCGAATATGAATTTGACATTGGCCAGCGCCTCATTTGACTCTACCGTTCGATTGTGGGACGTGGAACGGGGTGTTTGTATACACACGTTGACGAAGCACACCGAACCGGTATACAGCGTAGCTTTCAGCCCCGACGGAAAGTTTCTTGCTAGTGGTAGTTTCGACAAGTGTGTTCATATATGGTCGACACAGGTGAGTATCGTAGTTTACAGTTTTCTCTATGTTCGCTCTTTTTGATATAACACTGTTACAAGTGGCGTTGATTGACTGAGATTAACTTCTTGTTTTATTCGACCGAGCAGAGCGGACAGCTGGTCCACAGCTACAAAGGAACGGGAGGCATTTTCGAGGTCTGTTGGAATAGCCGTGGTGATAAAGTCGGAGCATCTGCTTCCGACGGAAGTGTATTTGTTCTTGATCTTCGTAAACTATGATTGCTTTCACTTAGCAAAGCGTATACTAGGTTTATACGACGATTTTATTATGATTTTAAGTTACCCGAGTTTGCATTAACAGTTCGACATTTTGTCATGAGGCTTTTCGCCTCAGCTACGTTATACGAAATAATTCGCGTGTGAAGTGATGTGCAAATAGATTTATTTTGGCTTGCAATGTCGGTTGTTGCATGAGGAAAAATCTCGAGAAGTTGTGAACAATTATGTCGTATGATGATTCATAGTTGAAAATGAAATTCATGAGATTTATACACTTTGTGTTCTTTTGTGAAATGCAAAAACATATGAAATTTATTTTATTCTATATTTCATCTGCGACTGGTGTTACGTATCATTTTAATGCCATCTTAATTGCACGTGAATTTTTATTACGTAAACTTCAATTACAATGAAGGTTCAATTATATACGCTTAATTATTAAGATATTTACTGCAAGACAATTTTAAAACTCGACAAAGAATCTATCTTTGAAATATTGTCTGGCAATTTTGAGTAATTCTGTGTAATTATACTAAAGTTTTCTCAGTTTTTTTTTTTTTTCAGTGTTTAGTACATCAATTTTTAATCATACATATTTTCATCAATTAGCAATTATTTATGCAGGAACTGTATATTATTAACAAGTTCGTACAAGTTGACAATGACAAGGCGTGTATCTAATAACGAATACTTTTAGTTTTACAAGCGATTATTTGTGGATCATTCCCTCAATATTTCTTCAAAGTTCCTGGCATCTTGCTGTAGCTATATCGGATCGTGACGCGGAAGCGAGGAATTACAAATGATTTGCTTGGCTCGATTGCTCTTACTGAAGAAGGTTTACCAGTAGTATTTTGGTTAATGAACCTGGTTCCAAAACCATTAAAAAACAAACAAGTGATTCACTATTATAATATGTTAAACCAAGCTGGATTTTATATCTTTCTCTACTAGAGTATAATATGTTACTTCTAGCCAGTATCTCGTGGAGGCAAAGAAAAATCACTAAAATTCATCAAAAACCACACCAAATCATCTTAAAACTTCAGAAAAACCTAAAATTTTGTATCTCCCAAAAATCTTCCTATTATTCAAAAATCTCAAAATTAAGCAAAAACATTAAAATTTATCAAATCCTCTTAAATTTGGTGATAATTTTACAATTTTTTATGTTTTTCTAAATCAGCATTTCATTTCTAGCCGGAATCTTGTGAAGCAAAGAAAAATCACCTAAAGCCACCAAAATCTAGGTACATTTACCTCAAAAATCGCAAAAATAAAAGAAAACTCACCTCAAAACAATCCTTGGGTCTAGCAACTTTAGCGTAACCAAGATGTAAGTTCTTCAAATAATATAAGCTTTTAATTTAAAACGCTTAAAAACACTCGTATTCTATCACAAAAATACGCTAGAATTCCTGGCTGGTCCCTTTGTGAGATTAAACAATCAGTTATTATCGACTGTGGTTAAAGTACTGGCCAGAATTTTGTTATAGTCGTTACCAACACATTTTTGGGAGATACAAAATTTTAGGTTTTTCTGAAGTTTTAAGGTGATTTGGTGTGGTTTTTAATGGATTTTAATGATTTTTCTTTGCCCTCACGAGATACCAGCTAGAAGTAACATTATATTTTACTTCCTCCATTTAGTTTATGTGCATGAAATATTAGATCCTCCTTTTAGAGTTCATGGATTAATAGAATTTAAAATCCATTTGCACATCTAAAAGAGCACATAAATTGAATTACACATCCATTTGTTCGAGAAAGAACTAAAGGAGATATGATACTGATATATTATCAAACACATAGTTTTGAATGTGATATTATTAGATACACAGCTTGATTTGCATGCTACAAAAGTCTAAATCAATGTATAATAGACATAGTGAGGTACAAGTAATATAATTGTTTCTTATAAACTTCTAAGACAATCTAACGTGTCTACAGTCGAAACGCCAGGAACTCTGAAAGTTGCAAAGAGAAATGTATATTAATGATATTTTTAGTCATGATACTCTGTACAGCGAAACAGTTCGAGAAACTTTATATTTACAGAAAACTGGATTACTATTTTCATTCACGATAAGTGAATGGAGTACATGTTGTAATTGTACTAGTATCATAAGAGTGTTACGTAAACATTGACAATGAATAAGAAAAATAAACTTTTTTAAAGAAAAACTGACCTTGCAGGAATTATATCCAATTATCCTTATGATGTAAAGCAATTTTGCAAAACTTGCCCCTTCAACTTTAATTGTTTATGAAAAACAGAATCAATGTAGGATATTGATTATTAAATGAATAAAAATTTGGTAATTATATAGAGTCATCTTCAATTTGGCTGAAACTCAACTTATATTGTGTATTTTCACGCGTAGAAACTAAATATAAAAGTTAAAATCGTCGCCCTGTTTCGTAAAGCGAGAAATATCTCTCTTACAACAATTAATAAATTGTTAAAGTTAATGGGTATGACAGGTTGTGAAACTTGTCATAACAATAAAATGTACCGAAGTTATATGCTCCGTGGCTATATACGCATACAACAGTGCGCGCATTTAAAACGTATGTGCATTTTTATGTATCACTTGTTGAAATATATCATAACTTCAATAAAATACAAAAAAATGCATTAACCAGTTGCTGTTTATAACCATCACTACCTTGATTTTTTTTTTTTTATTAAAATATACATAGACTTTAAGGGCAAGCTAAAAATTCTCACAATCTTTATTTTCCTTACCCAGTCTAAAGTTGTTTCCTTATTACTAAGCATGTGTATACGAATGTCTTAAGGTACCTGCTTATATTGGTCATTTAGTCTTTGCCTTAGCCTACTTCTATTCCTACAGCTCGTATTGTTTTTATCCTTCATCCACATTTTGATCTCGGTTTTAACCTGAATAATATATTGCTTGACTTCTAATCTCTTACTTGTTCTTATTATACGGCCTCTCTTCTCTTTTCCTTTATAATTTCGCTTATTCATTTTCAAACTTCTGTTCCTTACTCACTAAGTTTAAAACTAATCTTAACCTACAAACGTAAAACACATCTACTTTCTACTAAGTATTACCTCAAAATTAAATTTAGATTTAAATCCAAATCTTAAACGCACAGTTCCAACTTCCCTTTTAAACTCAAAACCAAAAATAACCTCCGATTTAACTTTTAACTTTTGATTTCAATTTTCCTCTAAATTTATCTCGAGCTTCAAGCTAACCCACAACTTAAGATTTGAATTCAGATCCAATTCTTCACATATCGATTGCAAGCATGAATACCGCTCCGGGATTAACATAGAGTCTTAAGGCTAATAAAATAAAATCTATAATCGTCTTAAAATTAACTACTAAAATACTGCTAAAAAAAAAAAAAACTACTAAATTAACTACTAAAATAAAATACTAAATTAAACTTACATTCTAACACAAAAATTTAATGTTCCTATTTCTATTGGTTATTCGTTTTGTCTCAAGTTTTGATTTAAAATTACACTTTAATCATATAACTTTAACCTTAAATTTAAACTTTAAATTAAAAACAAAAATTAAAATCAAACTCTGAGTTAGCCTCATATTTGTCCAACACACTACCTCGATTCCTCGTTAAAGAAAGTGGCGGCTCGTAGCGGAGAATTTGGAACTAATTTACAGAAATAACGGGTTCAATCCACTAGACGCTACAAACGCTTTAAAGCGCGATCCACTAGGTGCTATTCTACTTCCAGAAATAACGGGTCTAAGGAATATATTAGACCCGTTATTTTTGTAAGTTAGTTCCAAAATCTCCGCTACGAGCCGCCACTTTCTTTAACGAGGAATCGAGGTAGTGATAAGAAAAAAGTACATCAAATTAAGATAGGAGAAGAAAAGATTAAAAATGTAAATGAAGTTAAATTTTTAGGAATGATATTTCAATTAGATTTAGGATGGACAAGTCACATAAAGATAGTGGAAGGTAAATGTGCAAACGTTATCAGAACTTTAAGATGCCTAGGGCATACTTGGTGGGGAGCGGATCCCATACTTTTACTACAAATATATAAAATGTTAATAAGATCTAGATTGGAATACGGGGGGTTTTTAATACATAATTTATCAACACAATTAAATTCAAGATTAGATAAAATACAACTTAGAGCAATTAGAATAGCGATGGGATATAGAAATACCACACCTTTAAATGTTGCATTAGGAGAAGCTAAAGAAGTACCGTTGGTAACTAGAAAAAAATATTTAAGTAAAAGTATATTAGCAAGAGCAATGACAACAGAGGGGCATTTATTAGGCAAAAACCTAGAGGAGATAAAAGAAATAATAGAGACCAACACAGATAGATAAGGTGGGAAATTTTTTAATGGTAAAAGTAGGCTAGCTTGAAGCTTGAGATAAATCTAGAGGAAAATTGAAATTAAAAGTTAAAAGTTAAATCGGAGGTTATTTTTGTTTTTGAGTTTAAAAGGGAAATTGGAACTGTGCATTTAAGATTTGGATTTAAATCTAAATCTAATTTTGAGGTAATACTTAATAGAAAGTAGAAGATGTGTTTTACGTTTGCAGGTTAAGGTTAGTTTTAAGCTTAGTGAGTAAGGAACAGAAGTTTGAAAATGAATAAGCAAAATTATAAAAGAAAAGAAAAGAGAGGCCGTACAATAAGAACAAGTAAGAGATTAGAAGTCAAGCAATATATTATTCAAGTTAAAGCCGAGATCAAAATGTGGATGAAGGATAAAAACAATACGAGTTGTAGGAATAGAAGTAGGCTAAAGACCGTGACAGACTAAGGATTAAGATTGAGATTGAATTGAAAATTGGCCAATCAAAGCAAAATTCACCAAACTTGAGCTTAGTGAATTTTGCTCTGATTGGCTAAATTTCAATTCAATCTCAATCCTAATCTAAGTCTGATACGGGCTTGAGGCAAAGACTAAATGACTAATGTAAGCAGGTACCTTAAGACATTCGTATACACATGCTTAGTAATAAGGAAACAACTTTAGACTGGGTAAGGAAAATAAAGATTGTGAGAATTTTTAAGCCAAATAAGCTTGCACTTAAAGGCTATGTATATCTTAGAAAAAAAAAAAAAAAAAATCGAGGTAGTGATGGCTATAAACAGCATCTGTATTGGCCATATTCTTACCGAAATAACGAATCTAATGTACTCCTCAGACTCGTTATTTCTATTAATTAATTCCAACGCCTCTGCTACGAGCCATCACTGTCTTTAATGATAAATTGAGACAATATTAAGAGTAATGGCGTTAAGTTATTCAATTACCGGAAGCCACATATTGAAGGAAGGAAGGAGGTGACAATACGAGTTGACAGCCTGTTTGATTTTTACTAAATTATGAAAAATACGCAGAATTCAACGGGCTGTAACTTTGACAATAATAATGATATTGAGATAATTTACAAAGCATTTTACAGTTAAATGTCTATTTTCAAACCAGTTAATGTTTTAACTGTTTGTGGCTCGTCGAGAAGATTTTAGACTTGCATTTCTACTGAGATGTATAAGAAATATCGAAAAATATATTCCAAGGCTTGTATTAATAAACAACACTTGAAACTTATTCAAAAGCTGAAAAACTAACATTTAACATCTATCTCTGAATTGATATCTGAATATCTTAATAAGTTGATGATATTCGATCAAATCAAAAGATATCCAATGAAAATTATCTGAAGAAGTCAGCGAGTGAGATATTTCATGCAAAAATGAGTATGCTTAACTTTATTGTTAAGTAGTGCTTTTATATTAACCATTGTGATGGCAACATTAAATATAAAGTTAGACAGAGATATTTGAAACCAGTTAATTTTTTGCAAATTTTGTCTTCTCAATTCTTCTTTTTTTCAAGTATCCCAGGATATAATCACTGTTTTCTTACTGGATGTAATCACTGTTTTCTTACTGTAAATGTAATTTACTACCAATATACAATGCAAATCAATATTTTTAGGTAATTTGGCGTCGTAATAAAAAGGAAATAACGGTGAACAACATGTAGGGAAATTATACTTTGCTTTAATTCTTCTAAATAAATAATAATCTCTATTACTACAATATCTATACGCAATTTACACATACGTACTTCAATATATTAGCCCGTCATTTCGACAGATTACATTATACAAATTAAAGCTTTTAATTATAAGAAAACATTCGGAGGGTGGAGTATATCTATTCTAGATTCTAACATTGATATAGATTATTGAAAGATTCAATGACATCTTTAACTTCTCAGGATGTCCTAAAATTACACGAAACGTATCGAAATAATTACAAGTGAAGGTGGAACGTTATTCACGTGGAAACACACGACGGCACCGAATCTCTGTGTTAAATAATATCAATAATACACACGCTATCGCGCATTTGCCTTCGATACTATAATGCGTTACACGATGCCAAACATTTTATTGTCGTGCAAAACATATTCGCTGTTATTGTATTTCGTTATGGCACAAGGGACAAACACGTAACCGCGAGAAGATGACGTAATCATAGTGTTATTGAAAAACATCGCTAAAATTATAGAAGGCGAAAACGAAAGTTTTATACACTCTTTCAGTATTTCGCGCGGATCTGTTCAAACATAAAACATAAAATTCTGCTGTTGTTTTCTTTTTCTCTTTTCTAAAGCAATAAAGTCCGTTGTACATGTAGAGGTTCTATCAATACGTCCAGTATGGTGCTCGATAGTTTTTTTTCAACGTAAACACACATCGACGCGCATCCAATTTCCGGTTTCCTCTCACTCAAGACTCGAGAGAATTATTAGTTACGTTCAAATTTGCATATTGCCGACAGCCTCTTGTGGATTAACAACAAACGACACACAGAAAACAGACTTCGTTCAGAGAGCTGCAAATTACAAGTACACACGCATACACACACGCGTGCGCGTACATGAGTGCACGGCTTCGTGTACTTGCCGGGTGTGCACGCGAAGACAAGAACTATCGATACCACCAAGTTACACACATGTTTTGTACATTAATCGTTGACAAGAGCGAGCAATCAGCGTGACCGATCCGCGTTCTCGTTCACGTCGATCTGCGCGATCGCGACCGGCCGGTCGCGGTGAGTATTATCGATAAATCTACGACGGAGACGCTTCGTTAATTAATTAAGTACGCGCCGAGGACATCGAAGATATCAGGTAGTCGTTGCCAAGTAGAGAAGAGCTTACAGGAAATCACAATACATAATACTGTTTCGTTACATCTTCCTTTGTGTGCAAAGAAGATAGATAAGTAAATAAGTAGGTAGGTAAGTAGGTAGGTAGGTAGGTAGGTAAGTAGGTAGGTAGGTAGGTAATTAGATGGATAAGTAGGCAGGTAGGTAGGTAGATAGGTATAAGCAGATAAAAACAGATACAGAAGGATAGACAAAGAGACAACGTGCGAAAAAGAGAGTGAGACTAGAGCTTTTATCGAACAAAGCTTGGATCTTGGTACGAATTTTTCGGGCGGTCGCACGCGATGGTCGAATTTGTCACACATTATGGTCGTATCAGCGACGTTATCGCGATTCTCGTATCTACCTGCTTTCGAGGGCCAAACACGGGAATGTCTCATTTATTATTACAGCCTAACCGAGTGATAAATAAGCACGCGCCGAAAGTAGCGAGGAAGTATAGGAAGGAACCGAGTACTGCGTTATCTCTTCGTTTCTTTCGCGATTTCTCAATTTGATTCGTTCGTGAGGGATACTTTGCGTGTCGCCGATACGTAAAACTTCATGATTTTTGGCATTCGTCTCGCCGGAAGGAAGGATCAATCCTCGTGTAACCGCCGGAATCCACACTATCAGTCTAACGGGAGCGGACAAACGGAAAGGGGAACAGGCGACGAAACTCAACGATGACGGTGGTCGAGCATAAGTCGCGACATGGCAAAGCTGAGGTGCCGATGAATCTTTGGAGTCCTCCTCTGCGAGTCAAGGCGCGGTTACAACAGGCGAAGTTCGTTAGCCTGCACCTGAAAAATCAATGAAGTTGATTGCAATTCGTTTTTGCGTCTGCGACACGACAGTCGCTGGAAGATTAAAGACCGTAGGAGCTATCTCACAAAGTTTAGACATTCTCTTAACGACTCAGAGTTGGTCTCTAGAATCTCGAAAGGGCAATCTGAGTTTCATAAATGTAACACTCTTTAGCAAATTGCAGGAACGTTCGAACTTTGTGTGACAATCTCCCTTCTGTCTCTGTACATCACCGACGCGATTGTCATCAAGGAAAAAGCGAATTGCCAGAGCGCGTTTATTTAAAATCCGAGTACAGCCGCTGGGACAAATTGAATTCTGCGAAGCTACGCTCTATTGATGGACAGGATAACGCAATTTACTCGCGGTGGCAAAGTTACGTTTTCTATGAGTCATTTAAAATAAACGATTAAGTCGTCACGTAAGTCTAGCCGCGACAGGTTCCTCGCGTAATTATTTCGTGTAATTATCTTCGACAGTCTCGAAGTTCGCGCGCGAGAACACAGATATACAAGAGAAGCAAGAGAGAAAGACGAGTCATACTCTGGTCATTTGATCGTCCTGCGACTCGCGGAAAACCGGGTCGCTCTCCTCGAACCAATCCTGCGACTTGCTCGTTGCTCGATCGGATGCTGTACTTTGGTCGTGACTTCCCGCACGTTGCTGCTGTCGCTGGCTCATCGCCGCGACCCTATCGACATCCGGTCCGTATTCCGGCACCGACCTCTTGCCAATGGTCTCGAGGAACCGACGATTCGCATCGATCTGCCGCTGATCCTGCAAAGCCTTCCTGCGCGCTAACTCCAGCAGCACTCTCTGCCTTAGCACATCCAACGAGTTTACGATTGATAGGGATCCGATTCTCTTCGTGCGCCTCGCGGCCGCGTTAGGATCGCTGCCCGAGTCCAGCATCTCATTCTATGAATAATAATTAATTAATTGTATATGATAAAACGTGAGACTTCAAAAGCGCGCGATTAGAAAGGTAAAAGTGCGCGATTAGAAAGGTAAAAGTGCCTTAACGCGTATTTAACTCTGGATATTTTTATTATTTTGATGTTTAAATATGAATATTAAAAAAAAAAAAAATATATATATATATATA